TTTTTTACACTTCTTAGTCTGTTATTTTATTTGGCTATTGTGAAGAACTGAACAGAACGCAACAGAGACAGCGGAGAATCATTTATTTGTTACTAATTAATCTGTACATTCATTGGCTTTTGTCATATACTGTGTTGGTCGCTCTCATATTCACTGAAGGTGCATTTTGACTTTGAGGACACTGACAAATCAGTGAACATTTACTTTGCTGTCCTTGAGGAGTTTCAGTTTGAAAGCCTTGTCCTCTCGGCTTTAAATTTTACACATTGAACAAATGTATAGATTAAGAGATGTAAAACGTCACTTCTGTTGTTTGTTTAGAAGTACATCATAATGCTAGATGGGCAGCTCATTTTATTTTCCGTCGTGTTATGCCAATATACCTTTTGAGTTTCCTTTTCTTTTTGGGGGGGATCAGTGGATACAATTTAGAGATCTCACTCCTCTAGAATAAGTTGAATCAGCTAACATTTATTATTTTGCATCTGTATTTGCATCTAAATTGCTAAATATCAAATTGCACACAGACAATTCTTCCAGCAGTGCACTTTTATTAACTATAAACCCCTAATACCATGTCTACTGCATATATGGATGGTACTGGGAAAATGATTAGCTACAGTCGATTAAATCTTTACGTAGCATGTAGCTGTGTACATTCATGATTTAGCGCTTAATGTTTCTCCCTGTCCGGCTTGTTAATCAATCATTGATAGCCAATTACCACGAACATTTACATTGAAAGCTGTTCAATTTTGATGTTTTTGTTTCATGTGTGGTTATTGTTTCTGTTTTCTTGTTTTAAAAGCTCATTGTCTATCTATGAGGGGGATTAACGTTGCTGTACGACGAATGGTCTGGCCGTGCTTTAGAATGTCAAAGCGGCCCAGAGGCTCATTTATGAATGGTTGTAAAATATTTTCTATTTCATATAATTGTTTATTTCTTAGATTTCTGAGAAGCGGGGGTATTTTTTTTTTTTTTTAGAGACACGCCCGCATCAGAGAATGGACATTAAGATTGTCTCACATCGAGAACAGAGTTGTAGTGTACAGAAAATAAGTTGAGGCCGCGTAGGTTGTGGCGTTTGTTTATGTTGTTTGGTTTTTATTATGTGCTTTTCTTTGGTTCGTGGGAGAGTCTTGGTAAGTCTCCAGTAGCAGTTGCACTCTCTTTACAACTTAAATTCTGTGTACATATCCTGTTCTTTTACAACTGTACATATGTGAAAGTGAAGAGAGAAAATACCCAAGCAAAATCTATATTTTCTGCAGTCTGATATTGTTTTCTTTGATTGTAGCTTGACAAATTAAAAGTCTTTGGGAACATAAAGGTGGTTTTCAGAATCTTTCGCACTGAAAAGACAAAAAAGACCTGAAATCGGTATTTTAACACATTTTATTAAATAGTGGCACACAGCATTGTGTTTGTCATGTTTGCGTCTTCTACCACCAGAGGGAGACGGTTGACAGGCCTCTCACTTGTTGGTATGGCAGCCAGTTGATGAATAAATATGTTCCATACAACAAATATATCATTATATCAAGATGTGAGAAAGAGCTGAGCTGTTGTGGGTTTTTCTTTTTTAACCCCTGTTGTCTTCCCAGTCTTCGTTTGGCTCATCCTGTAACAAAGGAGTAATGAAATGCTGAGTTCTTCATACAGTATTAGACAAGAACAAGGTCTTCATGAATAATTAACCATAAACCATTGTTGTATACTGTATGAGTGTGTCTACTAATGGCTTCTGGTGTCATGGAAAAACTGGACAAGCCATGCAAGATGAAAACTGAAAGTTCTCATTAAAATTGACACTCATATATTTTCTTTTCTGCTGTATATTATGATTCATTTATATAGCACCAAAAACCAGAGTTAGATTCTGCACAAAATAAAATAAAAGTGCAATGATAGCAAATCGTAGAGAACCCAGTTCATACTCATTAAAATCAATAAAATA